ATTAAGGTAGATTCAAAGAAGATTGAAGCAGTGTAGAGTTGGCCCAGACCGTCTTCAACTACTAAGATCCAGAGTTTTCTTGGTTTGATAGGGTATTACCGTCACTTAGTAGAAGGTTTCTCATCTATTGCTGCACCTATGACCCGATTGACCTAGAATGGGCCCTGTTCAGATGAACCGAGGAGTGTTGGAGATCTTTCAAAAGCTCAAGACTTCTCTGATTAGAGCCCTAGTGTTGGTATTGCCTACAGGTTCAGGGCCTTACACTCTGTATTGTGATGCGTCACGTGTTTGCCTCGGCGCGGTGTTTCTGCAAGACGGTAGGCTGATTGCATATGCATCTAGACAGATGAAGGTGCATGATAAGAATTATCCATTCCATGATTTATAATTAGCAGCAATTGTTCATGCCTTTAAGATTTGGCGGCACTATTTGTACGGTGCCCCTTGTGAAGTCTATATTGATCACCATAGTCTACAACATTTGTTCAAATAGAAAGATCTTAACTCGCAGCAGCGGAGGTGGTTAGAAATGCCTAAGGACTATGATATCACCATTATATATCATCCTAGGAAGGCCACATACTGAAAAGAAACTTGATGCAGTATGGGTGATTGTGGATTAGAGCCAAGTCGGCTCATTTTATTCTAGTGGTACTTATTCTTCAGGGCAGCTGGCTCAAGCCTATATTCGCTAGATTGTCCGACTTCATGGCATACAGGTATCCATCATCTCTGACCGGGGTACGTTGTTTACATCGCGCTTATGGAAAGTCGTACAGCGTGAGTTGGGCACATGGGTTGAGTTGAGAACAACATTCTACCCTCAAACAGACGGACAGTTCGAGTGCACTATTGATGAGTGGTGACTTTACCATTTATTTTAGTCTCTTTTCTTTAGTGTCTATATTCGTTAATTATGATATGAGGTTGTTTATGTTGTGAATTGCTAGATTTTCAATTAAATGATGCCATGGAGAGAGTTGAATTCAATTGTAGTGGAATTGAATAAACAAGTGTATAACAAGTGCAAATTCCTTTAGTGATTCCGCATCTGCGGAACACTGTGCGCTTATGCGACCTCGCATTTGTGTGGAGAAGTCTGCATCTGTGGAATTCAAGCAACCTTCGATGGGATCACATCTGCAAGTGAGGAAACTCATCTACAGTCGTGCTTCTATGCTTGATGTCCGCATCTGCGATCGCACTTTTACGCGTGTAAGTCCGCTTCTGTAGAGTAAATGTTTTCCATCAAAGGTCACTTCTGCCAGTGGGTATCCGCATCTGCGGAACCTGTAATGACTCAGCCGGTCGTTTTGAGTATTATAATCTCGTTCCCTCATTTACTGCTCAATTGATGCTTTACAGTTGTTTTATAACTTACTGGGTTAGTTGGTTCGGGTTCGAAAGGAATTCAGAGTGAAATGAGACACTTAGTCTCATAATTGAAAATTTAAGTTAGAAAAGTTGACAAGATGTCGACTTATGTGTAAACGACGTCGGATTTGAACTTTGATGATTCCAATAGCTCCGTATGTTGATTTTGGACTTACACGCGTGTCCATAAAATTATTTGGAGGTCCGTAGTGGAATTAGGCTTGAAATGGCGAAAGTTGAATTTTTGGAAAGTTTGACTGGGGGTTGACATTTTGATGGCCGGAATCCGATTCTGGAAATTTGAATAGGTCCGTTATGTCATTTATGATTTGTGTGCAAAATTTGAGGTCAATCGGACGTGATTTGATAGGTTTTGACGTTGTTTGTAGAATTTGGAAATTTCAAAGTTCATTAGTCTTGAATCCGGGTGCAATTTGTGTTTTTGATGCTATTTGATGTGATTTGAGGCTTCTACTAAGTTCGTATGACGTTTTAGGATTTGTTGGTAAATTTAGTTGAAGTCCCGAGGGTCTCGGATGAGTTTCGAATGGTTAGCAGATTAATTTTTGAATTTGGAAGACTGCTGAAGCTGAAGCTTTCTGGTGCAATCGCACCTGCGAAACATTGGTCGCAAGTGCGAGCTGGGGTGCACAGAAGCAAAGTGCGTAGGTGCGGACTCTCACCTGCATGAGAAGGAATGCATAAGCGGTGCCTGGGGACTGTGGAGCGCAGATGCGGAAGGCATCTCACGGGTGTGGACTCATACCTGTGTGAGGGTGATCGCAGAAGCAAGGAATTTCACAGAAGCGAGGGAAAATCTGCATAAGCGGTTGCACAGAAGTGGTTAAAAATACTGCAGGTGCAGAACCTCTAGATAGTGTACAAAAACATAAGGGTCCGTGAATTTTCTCATTTTTGGACATTCCAAACACGGGTTGAGGCGATTTGTGAGCGAGAAATCACAGGAAATCTTAAGTTAAGTTACTTGTGAACATTGCTACTCCATAATATTGAATTATTATCAAATAATCTGACTAGATTACATGTTTTTGAGGTGTAGATCGGGGATTTGAACCTAGAGATTTGAAAATAAAATTTGAGGATTTCGAGGTCGGGTTGAGGTCGGATTTTGGTAAAATTGGTATGGTTAGACTCGTGGTTGAAAGACAAGAGTGGGTTTCTCTAGTGGTGAGCACCCTCCACTTCCAACCAAGAGGTTGTGAGTTCGAGTCACCCCAAGAGCAAGGTGGGGAGTTCTTGGAGGGATGGAGCCGAGGGTCTATCGGAAACAACCTCTCTACCCTAGGGTAGGAGTAAGGTCTGTGTACAAACTACCCTCCCCAGACCCCACTAGCGGGATTATACTGGGATGTTGTTGTTGTTGTTGTTGTTAGACTCGTGGTTGAATGGGCTTTCAGATTTTGTAACTTTTGTCGGGTTCCGAGACGTAGGCCCCGCATGCGATTTTGAGTTAAATTTCAGATTGTTATTAGAAAATTAGTATTTTCTTATGGAATTAATTCCAATGATTTGAATTGACCGAATCAAATTAATTGTGGCTAGATACGAGGCTTTCAAAGACCAATTCACGAGGCAAGGGAAGTGAGAAATTAGACGGTTTGAGGTAAGTAACACTTCTAATCTTGGTTTTGAGGGTATAATTCCCTGAATTACATGTGGTATGAATTCTATTAGAGATGACGCATATGCTAGGTGACGGGCGTGTGAGCGTGCATAATGGAAATTGTGACTTAAATTGATTCCATGGAGTTGCATAATTAAATAAATATCATTATCCTCATATCCTCCATGTCTTAGAGAAATTGAGTTGAGACTCATGTTAAAGATCAAGTTTTGGCTATACGCCAATATATTTTCGGACCCACATGAGTCGTATTGTTGTTGAATTAATTATTTAAATTTACAATTTTATACTCAGTCACATCTATCACTTGTATATTATATCTCAGTCTCTGTTATCATTCATTGATACTTCACATCTTTATGCCGAGTTGATTTTTCATGTCATTGAGAGCCCGAGAGACTGGAGATCCTGAGTGATAGTTATGTTTACTTATTTATACCTGGATCTGGCTATTATAGTATTTGGGCTGAAGGAGCCCCTCTGGAGTCTGCACCCACACAGTGAGCGTATTTGATATATATCTGGGTTGATTAGAAGGTGTGTACCGAAGAAGAGCAAGGCGATATTCTTGGTGCTCGTCATTTTTCGCCATATGGTGGTCATCATGGTGGAGAAAGAACGGCGACCAAAGTTCTTAGTTGTAGTTTCTTTTGGCCTACTCTTTACAAGGATGCAAGTGACTTAGTGAAAAGATGTGATGAATATCAATGGGCCGGTGGAAGTTCAAAGACAAATGAGATGTCTCTCACAACCATCTTGGAGATTGATATTTTCGAAGTTTGAGGCATTTACTTTGTGGGCCCTTTTATTAATTCTTATGGAAATACTTACATCTTGGTCGCGGTGGATTATGTGTCCAAATGGGTTAATGCCGTTGCATTACCCAATAATGAGGCGAGAAGGGTAGTGGCTTTCTTGACAAAGACTATTTTTACAAGATTTGGTACTCCACGTGCAATCATAAGCGTTGGAGGTCACAGTTTTGCAACAAGGTTTTTGACAATTTACTTAGCAAGTCTGGTGTTACTCACAAAGTCACGACTTCTTATCATCCACAATCTAGTGGTCGAGTGGAAGTCTCCAATCTGGAGATAAAGAGTATCTTTTCTGAAACGGTGAATGCTAATCGGACAGATTGGTCCAAGAAGCTTGATAATGTGTTATGGGCTTATCGGTCGGCTTACGAAACATCTATCGGAATGTCTCTATACTGGTTAGTGTTCGAGAAAGCTTGCAATCTTCTAGTCGAACTAAAGCACAAAATGGACAGAAGAATGTCAGAAAGCTTTCGATATGATGAAAGAATATTTGTAAATTCCACCTGTGTTAGTCCCCCCACCCCCGAACCCTAGAAATCGCTGCTATTGTACATGTCTGTTCTGGATAATGCATTTGGATGCATGTTGGGACAACATGATGCGACTTGTAGGAAAAAGCAAGCTATCTATTACATGAGCAAGAAGTTTACACAGTACAAGGCCAAATACACTTTGTTATAGCGAACCTGCTACGCTTTGACTTGGATCGCTCATAAGTTAAGGCACTACATGTCGGCATACACTAGACATCTGATATCCCGATCCGCTCAAATATATCTTCCATAAGCCAATGCCTACTAGAAAGTTGGCTAAATGGAAGATTCAACACAAAGCAAGTTTGATATTGTGTGCGTAACGCGGAAAGCTATCAAGGGACAGGCATTAGTCGACCATCTTGTAGAGAACCAGATGGAAAAGGACTACGAGTTGCTCACTATGTACTTTCTGGATGAAGAAGTGTTGTTCACAAGGGAGGACATTGCAGATCGTACCCATGGTGGAGAATGGTTTTCGACAGAGCAACCAACTTCAAAGGTGTAGGGACTGGGGCAGTCTCAATTTCTGAGTCAGGACAGCATTACCCAACTTTAGTGAATATAAGGTTTCCTTGCACCATTAATATAGTTGTGTATGAAGAAGCATGCATCCTCAGGATTAGGATGGCAGTCGACAAGAACATCAAGGTACTTCTGGTCATAGGAGATTCTGATCTACTGATACATCAAGTTCAAGTTGAATGGACTACCAAGAATATCAATATCATTTTGTACCTGCAATACGTGAAAGAGTTGTGCAATAAATTCATCAAGATCGAATTCAAATATATTCATAGAATCCAAAATGAGTTTGCCAATGCTCTTGCAACCTTGTCATCTATGATCCAACATCCAAATAAGAATTACATCGACCCTATTGAGATAGAGGTTCGGGATCAACATATGTACTGTTTCCATGTAGATGAAGAGGCAGACGATAAGCCGTGGTACTACTACATCAAAAGGTTCCTTGAAACAAGAGAATACCTAGATAATGCCACCCGTGGCAAAAAACGAGCATTAAAAGGACTAGCAAATCACGTTTTCCATAACGAGGAATTCTTGTACATGAGGATACCAAACTTGGGTTTGTTAAGGTGTGTAGATGTCACTGAAGCGACTAGATTACTAAAAGAAATACAGGCAAGAACATGCGGACCTCACATGAATGGTTTCACTTTGGCCAAGAAGATTTTAAGAGCTGAATACTTTTGGATGACCATGGAAAGTGATAGTATCCGTTACATATAGAAGTGTCACAAGTACTAGATTCACGAGGATTGCATCCAGGTTCTACCTAACAAGGTGAATGTAATAGGTTGTCCTTGGCCGTTCGCCACTTAGTCATGCACGTGATCGGACCTATAGAGCATGCCACATCAAATGGACACCATTTCATGCTGGTAGCCATCGACGACTACAACAAACAGGACAAAACTTATACATACAAGGTCGTTATGAACAAAGTGATAGCAGATTTTATCTATAACAACATAGTATGCCATGTCGGGATCCCAAAGTCAATCATCAACGATACTGCAGCTAAACTCAACAGCGATGTCATGGGGGAGATTTGCGAGAAATTCAGAATCGTCCATCGTAGTTCCATAGCCTACAGACTTCAAATGAATGGAGTTTTTGAAGCAACAAATAAAACATCAAAAGGATCCAATGAAAGATAGTGGAAAATCACAAACAGTGGCAGGAGAAATTATCCTTCGCTTTATTGGGTTACCGAACCACCATGAGAATCCACCAAAGCAACACCGAAGCTCTGATACCCACAAATGTCGAGATACAATCTTTGAGGGTCATTCAAGAAGCCATGTTAGATGGCGCAAAATGGATACGAGTTAGAGAGGAGCAACTTATGCTCATTGATGAAAAGAGAATAGATGCAGTATGCCACGGTCATGTCATACCCCGACATCGAGGAGCGTGACCGGTGCTCAACCGAGTAAATCCAGTCGAGCAACCCTAATTTACACTAACCTCTCATCATTACTCATGCATGATTTACCATACCATAATTATATATTGACTTTCATATTGAATACATTTGGCTCAATGGCCCATAATTTCTTTCTCGTGATGGTTATGCAACTTTATAAATAGCTGTAAATACTGCGAACATAAATACATGACAAAACTCAAATCTTTAATTACATGACCCACAGTGTACATGGAGCTTCTATGATAATAGAAACCTAAATACATAAAATGAACTAGACCCAAACACCCACTAGAACTGTAGTAAACTCACCATAAGCTGAGTAGTGAATAAGATCCCCATCAAAGATCCATATCATCATGTAGAAGTATACGTGCATCCATTAAAAGATGCAGCGCCCCCAGCCAAAAGGACATGAGTACATGTGGAATAGTACTCCCATGTAAGGCAGTCGAAACAACATATGAAAATATGGTAACACAATTAAGAGGCAAATGAAGTACATCAAGAAACTACGAAACATCCCATAGAATCACATTTCAAGTCTTATTATACTTGCATTATTCTTAACATCTTTTAGGATCAACTGAGCCATATGAACTATACGTGGAATACATAATATAATGTAATTGTAACAACATGTACAAATAAGGCCAACTAAAGTGACACCTTCCTCTTTTATTTTACACATATACATTTCATAGACCGTCTTTGGTGTTCACATATCATATTATACACCTATGCGTCTCATAGACCATTCACATTGTTTACCCACACAATACAAATAAACCTATTAAAGGGCATAGAAATACAACATGAATATGATGAATCATGGTACCAACAAAAGGGCTTGGATAGCCGTTAACGTCAAGAAAATTTATTAATAGCTTCCACTAACATTTATAATTATTGATTCGGGGATCCTCTATAACCATTTTCCCACAAAGCGTCTCTACCACCTCACCCCAATATATGTGGGTAGATGTGTATCATAATACCACAATAGCTACACAAAGCGGCCATTCCGCCTCACCCCAATATTTGCGGGTGGAGGTGTATCACAATACCATAATCCCTACACAATGTGGCCCTGCCGCCTCACCCTAATATATACGGGTGGAGATGTATCACAGTACCACAATTCCTACACAAAGCGGTCCTACCGCCTCACCCCAATATATGCGGGTGGGGGTGTATCACAATACCACAATCCCTACACAAAGCGGTCCTACCGCCTCACCCCAATATATGCGGGTGGAGGTGTATCAAAATATCACAATCCTTACCCAAAGAGGTCATACCGCTTCACCCCAATATATGCGGGTGGAGGTGTAATCCCAATCACAATACCATATATAAACTGAAAGCGACATAGTTGGTTATTAAATTTAAGGTCGTAATTTCCCATATCATTAGAATACTTCATGTTTATGCTCATCACGAAGAAACAAAACTCATTACATTAGCACATGCATGGTAAATCAATAAGTCGATTTCAATGGCACATGAGCCTAATTTCGTTTCTTAAGGTTCATCATGATTTAGCATAGGACATCTCCCTTTCATCCCATTATTTACTCACCTGGCATCTTGTGGTCATTAGCAAGATTGATGACTCTTGGGGACTTAACAATTGAAGTCATTTACATACATTATTTCAAAAGCATACAACAATAGTGGAAACCATTGGGACATACAACACCTCATAATTCTCATTTAGGCAACGACCACATTTCATGTTCATACTATCACTTACTTGTACTTGCCATGGGTGATCATAGAGCATTTAAAATATTTAGAAACACCATAACCTCTCCTCATGAGGGTGTAGGAGCTTATAACACATTGGGAACATAAGTACAAATATTTTTGTCTCATAATCTTTCACACCATATATCACTTCACATTACTTTCAGCTACTTACAACATCATTATTTCATTGGCTCCCTTGGCCATACATATTATTCTTCATTTATGGCACTGTGGCCGTATATCATATTCCGCACTTTCATTTCTTTACTTTCATGGGTCATCATCATAAACATCATCATATAGAATACTCTTGAAATACCTTTCCCAAAAAGGGCAATACACAATTTCAACTCATGAATATGTAAGAAATCAAAACATATTGGAAATACCTACCAAGCATAGCATTAGTTAGAACAACCGCATTTGGACACGACTTGAGTACATAAGCTTTTGGATAATTCAATTTTCGGAGTAAATTTGGAATAGTTGAATCAAGGCCCATTTCATAATATTTCACACATCATTTTATTTCGTTGGCGCTATTGGCCACAGGTATAACTTTCATTCTTGGGACAGTGTTCACACTTGATATCCCCAACTCGGTACTTCACACTTTATATCCCCAACTCACTACTTTCACTTTCAAGCATCTATATAGATTATCGACAACAAGGAATCCCTAATCATGACTTTTAGTACACCTATGAGCAATTACGAGTCTTATGCACATTGAGACTTCTTACACAATTTGGCATAATAGCCTTCACTTTAAACACTACTTTGAGCATAACATTTTTATACCCAACTCATGCTTTGAACAAATTCCCGAAGGATAACATCATATGATAAGAGAATCCGGAATACATTTTGAACACATACCTTTCAACACAGCTTATTCGGAATAGCTCATTTATAAAGAATAACTCGGGACTTACAAGAACATGGAATTAAATTCTAGGAAAGAAGTTTAGCCAACATACCTCGCTTTGAGATTTTCTTAAATTACTACAATGTTCTGTAAATTCTAGCAATCCCAATCTATTTTTAGACTTAACAAAATTGAACCATAATTAGGACGATATTCATGGTTTCATCTCATTTGAGCATTTTATCAAACACTAGGTGTGCAAATTTAAATACGAGTTTCTTCTACAAGATTTCCTTCACTCCTCTACCCAATATTTACTCATTTGAGCTCAACAATCTTCCCATAAATCTTATTGGTACATGCATGTATAAATAATACTCTCATACCCAAGCATCATACTCTATATCAACCATCTTCAACCCAAATTTAAAATTGAAGAATAGGAGTTTGAATCTTACCTCTTGAGTGAAGATCTTGTGAGATTTTCTTATTTGATTTCAAGGCTTGAACAAGATCTTGATGAACAAAATACTTCATTTACTTTCTCTCTATAGAACACTCTTACTTCTCTCTAAACACCTCAGATAATTGCCCCAAACCAAGCCCTAAAGCCTATTTATCAAAATGGGGCCGAGTTATGAAAATAGGAAAATTAATCCTCCAAACTCAGGTGTGCGGTCGCATAATGGTCCGCACAATCGGTATGCGGGTCGCAAAATGGACCGCAAAATTAATGCCCAGAACTGGGCTGCACTGGCCAGGTGTGTGACCATTTTGCAGTCGCATAACCACTTTTGCGATCGCATAATGATTCTGCGGTCGCACATCTGACCGCAAAATAATATTCTTCCAGCCTTTGGTAATTTGGTCATAACATCCTGTAGGAGTGTTCAAATGATGAACTATTTGAAGTGTTAGAAACTAGAGTCTAAGATATTGCATTTGATAGGTTGCTGATCACATGACTCCTTATATATATGTAGATATTCTCGTTCAAAGTTTGTTGTTGTGAGTACCCATTTGAAACTTTAGTCTATCATGAAATTTTCAACTTGACTTAGACTTAGGGCTCACTTTAGACCCCATCCCACTCATAATATTACTCGTATACTTATTATAATATCAAATTGATATCTATCATATTAATAGCCCTCGTCTGCATACAAAATAATATAATTAGCGCACATCAACTTTCTTAATAGTACTTAAGTACTTCGGAATTTTTTTTCCGGGGTGTTACAGGTCAGCTGTATCAAAATAGGATGCCTAATGAATTCAACAAGAAGGTGAAACCTCGGTAATTCACACTGGGGCAGTTGGTTTTGAAGAAGATATTTCCTCATCAAGAAGAAGCCAAGCGAAAGTTCGCGCCGAATTGGCAATGTCCTTATGTTGTCAATCAAGTGTTGTCGGGAGGAGCATTGATCCTAGAATAAATGGAAGGCAGAGTCATCATGAAGCCCATCAACTCGGATGCAATCAATAGATTCTACATTTGAAGACAATTGTAACACCCCGGAAAATTTTGAAGTACTTAAGTGTTATTAAGAAAGTTGATGTGCGCTAATTATATTATTTTGTGTGCAGACAAGGGCTATTATAAGAATTATATTAATTAATCATGATAATATATGTATGAGGTGAATAAAGAATGTTTTATGGTCTAATAAGAGCCCCAAG